AGTCGTGTCGAGTGTTGTCGTTTTGCCAGTAACGCACGTACCCCCTCGCCGTCGACAGGTTGGCCTTGGTCCAAAAGCGATCGGATCTCTTCAAGCTTGCCGTACTTAGCAGCGTGGACAAGAGCCATGTTGGTTTTTGTTGTGCGTTGTAAAATGAAAAGTGAGCTTGGTTGCGTGGCGAGTGCCCGTGCCGCACGGAGGTTGCATGTGGACACGTAAAGACAGCTTGTTGCCCACTTTCGCACATCATATGTCTAGACGCGATGACGCCTCCTCGACGAGTGCTAAACAATAAGGCAGTGCCACGTCATGGTTTAAACATTTGGACAAAATCCTGACTTGGATCACGTGTGCTCCAACGTGTTCCTACGGCGAATGTGATTCTTCGACTCTATACAACAGGCAGTGCCCTCGGCTGTGTTCCCTTTTGTACTCTTGTGTACGTAAGGCTACCACAGCGTCCACGAACCCCTTGATACAGAAGAGAGAGGCTTGCTCGCTTGTAGTTGCCTTTGCCTTTTGCATTGCATCAGCGTCCTTTGGTCGTGCATGGAATTCTAGCCGTCGATGGCCTGCCGCCACATCAACCTGATCGTACTTCGTCATTTCCCTGGAGTTCTCGAGAACAAGCGAGTTCCGCAACGACGTTGCCCTGTATCGAGTGAAGGTCGTGCACACGTCCACGTCACGTGTTGCCAGTGGGGGGCGTCATTCGGTTGTCAAAACGTGGGAAAAGCGTCGCCCTCCCGCGAACGTCATCCTGTCCGTGTGCCGCCGTCATGTAGTGCATGCTGGATGCGCTGGTCTTCGAATGCCGCGTGTGTGGCGATCAAGCAGTTTGCAGGAATCCTGGACATTTTTGAGTGTGCTCGCCTTGCCTTCTTGTTCAGGACAGAGAGATGGGTCAGCAGTCGATCGCGGTGGCGTCCAACGGTACGTGGCCGTACCCGCCGACATCTCGGTCTCGACATTTTACAAAGGAGAACAGAATCGGGCAGTGCTCGACGACTCCAGTTCGAGCAACGACCTCGAAACAAAACAGCGCATGTCGAGGGGGGATCACCGACCAACTCAATTGTGTCTGTGTACTATGGCATGACCAGGAATCGGCAACCACCCCCGCAAGGCATGCGCCGATCCGAAGTTCAACGACAGCATCTCCCAGCACGAATGCTCGCAGCAAAGGCAGGACAGAGCGTCATATTCGCCGAGTCGTTTTCACCCGTCAGGTGGCGTTGTGGGGCATGTTGCAGCATGGCAGTGGGAAGAGCTCGACCCCATAGAGTTGTTGGAGGGAGGGGCAGCTAGTTGTGGGTTCCCTATTGCGGGGGACTGCTGTACTTCCTTCGTTCCAGTACATTTGCATTACTTTTTGCAGCATTCTACTAGTATATCTAGAAGTTTGTATCCAAATTCAGGACATGTCGGGGTGTTCCAAATTTTTTATTCAAGCTCAACAATTTATGACGAACAGTTGCATGATGTGCTGCTACACTACTGCAACATCATTCAGTAGTTCTACGAGCTCATCAATGCTGTCAAGAGCCTCAGATCCCGGGACACGAAGCCCACTACCTATTAAACCTACAATTTCGTCGACTCTTTGCTCGTCGTGCAATCGACTCTCCATCAGATCAATAGCGTTCTTCGTCGCATGACGGCCGCAGCTCATGATGACCCGCCTTCAGATGAATGTCCTTCTTCAAATGCGGTAGCTTGTACACATTGTTGCCGTCCATCTTCATTGACTCCTCCAAAACCTTCTGTAAAGACATGAAGCTCTTGTCCAAAGTGGTCCACTTCAGATTCTTTAACGCTCCTTCAACGCACTGAATGAGGTCATCGATTGATCGTGCAGTAATCTGATGGTGCAAGCACTGGATAGCATTAAAGAATCCAAGGTCAAGAACATTGAAGTCCGGGTTTTGCGCTGGTTGGGCCGTGAGCTGAACGTTCCAACCGTTCATCTGACCCGCCGCCTTCACGGCAGCGTCATCCACTGCCACATGCGGTTTTGCATTGTCTTGTTGCACAAAAATGCGTTTTTCACGACGATCAGGCCACTTGGCTTGGATTACCGGAAACCCTTGTCAATAAGGTAGTTGCGGTAAATGGGATTGGTCACGCTCATAGGAACAGCCACATGAGTGCCGAGGTCTCGACTCTTGCTCTACCGCTTTGCAAACTTGGCATCAACGGATGGCCATAGACCAACCTTGCCATACCACATTGCTGCTGTCATGTCGAGGACGAGCAACACACAAGAACATGACTTCGTCATATGCCATTTTGACTGGGCTTAATGTTGTGGAACAACCTCGTCGTGCCAAAGATAGAGTCAACGGTTGACTTGTGTTATGTAAAACCACTTCTCGTGAATATTAACTATGTCCATCATGTCATGCCAACGGCGAGTGCCAAGATGACCAGCACGCACGATTGACTTGGCAATGTTGTTTCGTGCAAAGCGATGATCTGCCGTCAACATAGGCTGAGCCGACTCGTTGTTCGACGAAGCTTCTTAGCTTTGAGGAGACGCCAATGAGCGAAAATTGCGCCGTAGGTGGTGGGGGACACTCGAAATATTGTCGCGAGAATCTTCGTCTGAGTACTTGCAGGTGCCGTCCAGCCAACTTGGAAGTAACCTTGGCACACCCGTTAAGAGCAGCTGACGTGCACCCTCGTGTCCAGATCCGACAGATTGTTGCCTGGCAGACGTTAAAGGTGCGCATGAGCTTCTTCACCTCGCCGTGTCCAACACGGCCTTCTTTTTTGAGCTGCAGCAGTAGATGGTAAGGTTACGACCGGTCGTGGGGCGCGGCGTGTTGTTTTTCCGTAGCGAGCCTTCATGGACGTTTTTGGAATGGTGCTAGCAATATCTACGCTCCAAGACAAAGCGTTTGCACTTGGTTTGAAGGCAAAAGGATGAGATATGACGAAGTTACGAAGTTGCAAAGAATTTATGTCGTTTGCAGCCAACCGTAGCCAGTCTATACCTCGGATGTTATAGGGCATTAAATTGTTCTGAAATAGCTGGCTTTAGATCTTGTTTTTGGCTATCTTTTCCGCCATTTTAGGTGTCTTAATGCGCTCTCTAGCCCGAGTGGAGGTTGTTGACGTAAAGTCATACATATGTGCTTGAACAGGGGGAGGTACTACGTAGTTGGTTGCAACGCGACGACAATTCATCTGCGTTACGTAAGAGTTTGTGTGGTGCAGTAACTAACATGTAGTGGACTAGGAGTTGTGCAAACTTCGCACAGACACAGTTCACGACGCAATAGCAGCAGTTTCGTAGTACAGTCCAACGAGCGGCTAAACTCGCTCGACTTCCCTAGCATCATCATACAGCGAACCGCATCGTGCAGTTGAAGTTGCATAGTTCATTGCAATGTCAAAATTGGCTCCATGGGGTTGTACGTACTGATAGTCACACTCATTGATTGCAAATTTGTACAGTACAGAGGGCGAAATAGTCACATGCGCACATTAAACCTTCAGTATATCGCGATTAGTGTCAAAAAATACTCTGAGACTTCAGCGATTGTTTTCCATGAAGGGTACACCTCCATGAGCACTTGCAACAGTACAACACAGCCTGTGAGCTTGAATTTACCAATATTTGAAGTATGATTGAATTGACCAGGTCTGAGGAATAGGAATATTTGTATGCTCACTGCGTTGGAAAATTTTCAAAACCTAAAAAGACGCAGCCAATATTGGAAACAAATTGGTGTGGGGAATTGGTCAATGAATAGGCAACTTTGTGGCACGAAACAAGACAAAATTGGTCAACTGCGTATCATGCAAAGGGGTCCCAAGCTCAAAGGCATCGAAATGGACCAAATTTTTGCCTGGAAGCACGCGAAGATATTCAATCGTGAGAATGGCCGTTGTCTCAAGCGACCTGAGACATTAGTGCATGAAGTATCCGGGCACGCACGGTACGAAGAAGCGGTCGGGAAGGTGCGTGAAGTGACGAATGATGACATACGCCGCATTTACCGTAACGCAATCGTACGAAACTTATCAGCAGCGCAAATCGCCAAGTCGGCGCGGGTGACTGCCTGCACTGTACTCAACGTCCTCAAATCGAGCAAGTTCATCAAATACGCGAAGAAGAAGCCGGCGCCGTATCTGAAGCCGCATCACAAGAAGGCGCGTCGTGCTTTCGCTGCAAAGCACATGGCGAAGATATGGATTTTCGGCGTTAAGTTGTATTTTCGGTGATAATGACAAAAATCATTATCACCGAAAAAAAAATTCAAGGGTTTCTATGTTAAGATTAACTACTTAGAGTTAGTCTTGGACGAAAAGAAGTTCAACTTGGACGGCCCGGATGGATACCGCGCGTGCTGGAGTGACCTCCATGGTGACGAAAAAGTGTTCTCGAAGTGAGTCAGCGGAGGAGGCAGCCTTATGGTATGGGGTGCCGTGAGCCTGTGCGGGATGTCCGATATCGCATTCCTTGAAAGACGAAATTGCTCGGGAAAGCACTGCAAATCGCTAGAGACGTATTTGTTCATTTTTGTACAAAGTGCAAGAGTGTCTTGAAGACCAGCCATATGTATGGGGTGCCGTGAGCCTGTGCGGGATGTCTGCGTAGCATTCTTTGAAGGACGACAATGCTCGGGAAAAGACTGCAAGTCGCTAGAGACGTATCTGTTCATTTTTGTACAAAGTGCAAGAGTGTCTTGAAGGCCAGCTTGCTGTGTTCGAACGTCTTCCTCATGGACTGGCCTAGCACGAGCCTCGATTTGAAGGTTATTGAGTACGTTTGGTGTATTCTAGCCCGCCATGGTTACGAAGGTGGGCGACAATATGACAATGTGTCTGATTGGAAGCAGCAAATAGCTTTATCGTGGAAAATGATAAGTACTGACTACTTGAAGATGCTTGTGAACCGCATGCCTACGCGTTTGGCTCAAGCTGTTTTGATATATGGCTGTAGTTTCGACAATTAGCGCAATGCGCAAATAAACATTTCGCGAAATACTTCCCGTGATTTCTAGTATCATTGCATTAAACCACACTGCAAACTCTCTTATACGACGTAGGGTATTGTCAGATTCAAGCAATCAGGAGCACTTCTCCGTAATTCCAAAATTTTCATGTGCGCGAATAATTACAGTACTTCCTCTGTTCCACAAATCAGGCATCACTTGAAAACGCTACTTTTTCCACAAAACTGGCGACATTTCTATACAATTGGCTAAAATTGAAGTGAACCATCTTATTGGTTAAAAACCTCACTGGACCAATATGGCACGGTTGTCATCCCAACAGGGACTCAGGGCAGGTAAGATTGACCATGAGAGTCCCAGCATGTCGCAAGGAATCCTTCTTGAGATTGGGCAAGCGAAAGTGGTTGCCGCCATAATTCTCCAGCACCAAACGCATCACGGCCTGCAAGGTCAGAAACACGTCGTCGAGCTTCTCCGACGAAAGGACATGGAAGGCCACGAGGGTCGA